AGTAGTATGCAGTCTAAACCTTCTAAGTAGGTGCTGGAGAACGACAGGTACAGAATCTATTTAGATATTATACAAACAGATGACCTTGCGCAACATAATAGGTCGAATATCTTAATTCATGACAGGACGGACCCTGATTGACAACCTGCAACAGTACACTATGAAATTAACATCGTGAATACTTACCTTTATCTTATGCAAATATGGCAGACTGCTAAAGTGAATATCATTTCGGTAATCAACAGGGGAAATTACACTTTCGCTGAAACAAATCGGAAATTCCTTGGAATGACACCAGAGTCCTACGTTGAGGTGCAATGTTGGCAACATAATCAAAAACATACTTAACCGACCACAAGCACAATAGCAATTCCTCCTCATGTTCTTGCTTCACATCTTGCCAACAGGTTTTGCGTCGAGTTTGGACTTTTTGGGACCGAATTTCCTCGAAACGATTTATATTGTTTGGGTGTTACAAAATTTCAATGGATTCTCGTATTTTACTTTGATAGACGCATGGGTTAGATAAAGTTTTGTTAAATAAAATCTGATGGCCCGTTTCATAAGGATGTTCGGAAACTGCTAACACTGTCATGTGCCAAAGTCTAACTGATGTCTTGTGTGTTAATCTGTTTTTTTATGTAACTGTTTCTTCAATATATTTTTTCCACACCTACACGGTACGCTGTAGATGCTTGCTGTCTCGAGAAGAATTGTATTTTATTAATTAATTAGAAAATCTGGTTCTGATGTCTTGTTTTTGGAAAACAGCATGTCAGCGACCCAAACCCCCGAACCCAAAGCTGGCGAAATCTAGAAGCAGTGTTCCCTCAATCTAGACGATTACTTTCCAATAAAATCAGAAATACGAAAGGAAAAACTAAGTCTAATAAATTCACAAATTTTCATTTCACTATTATTTTAGGCGTGCACATTTCTACTGTTACCCGTTAATATCAGCTCTACATTTGTTACACAAAAGCATCAATTTCCTCGTGAGAACCTTTAAAAACAATCCCACTAAAAAAACTTGGTTCCACAGTACTCTACATAAGTATCTACTTTCATTTTTGAAAATTCTGCATTGGGCTGGTAATAACTCCAGAAAACATGTACCTCTAAGATGACCAAATCGGTTAATTGTAAAATTTTCTTTCAGCCTGTCCTTTAACATCATCCTATCCATAGATTATTTTTCAGTCAATACTAAACCTATACTCTTTAATCAACTACGCGTTCCACAGTATACTTCTCAAGCACTTTCATTGGTCGTCAGAACCAGGTTATTTTCTTTGTTCTCCTTTCGTAGTTCTTATTTTGAAAATTTTTATAAATTTTTATAAATTTTATAAAATGTTTAAAGGCATGGCGGTCCTCAACATTGAAACAATTTGATTTAAAACTTTTTTTTATAAAAAAATATCTAATTGTAATCGAAACTTGCGTGTTTTTCTATATACTACAGCTTCTATAAGTATAACTACTTTTTCTATGGCTTGAACAGAATCACCATTTTTCGTAAAAACATCCCTTTTACCATGAAATAATTGAAAATTGTCACCTCTATTTGTGGTATAGTTTGTTGCTCGCTTATCTCAGAACCAAGAATCATATTTGCAGTAATAATTGCAGAGACTTCTGCTGCAAGCAGCATGTTCAAGTGTTTTGCTTTTTTCTTTTCTACTTTCTCCAAAATCTGACCACGTGGCCTAGGTTTTGGCAATATTGACAAACCGGTCTTTTGGCTTGCCTGACCTTTTTTTTGGATATGAGAGTTGGAGCTTAATGCTTCCGCATAGGATAAATTGCAAATAGAACTTTTTTCGTAGAAATCAACATCCAATTCGATTTAATCCAAAAATATCCATCAGATATCGAACCCAAAACCTTACAAATTAATGTGGCAAATAACAATGGCAATTCGTTTATCATATATTTACAGTGGATCTCATAACTTTTTGAATCGTTTCTTATTAATTACGTGTTGTCAAAACGAATAAAGCCATCTGCTTTTGCAACATATCCTACATCTTCGCTGTACTTTTTCTTTTGCTCAGAAAGAGAATCTCTTTTTAAATTGCAATTTCCAATTTAGAACGTTCATTCTTCCAGAAGTTCCATCCAGCAGCACATAAAGTTTATTTATACCTCCAGGTCAATCATAGTATGCAATACGTTCGGTAAACTTTTGAACTCACTCGTTTATTAAAAACTCGCTTCGCTCGTGGCAAAAAACTCGTGAGTCAAATGCCGTTTACCGTACTTGTTGCATAATATACTATTGTGCAATAGAACAAGGAAAAATTGGTCCGGTTTTTCCCGGTTTTCCCGGTCTCTTAAGTAGTAAACTTAATTTCAAAAATATGTTCCAGGATAGTGACAAATTTGAACTGAGGTGGCTTTTACTTGATGAAAATCCATTTCTCAAAATAAATAAGAACTAAAAGTTCCGATTTTCAATAAATTATATATTTTTACATGACAATTATTTGAACAACATGTAAAAATATATAATTTCGTGAACATCTGAACTTTTAGTTCTTATTTGTTTTGATTTAGTGACTAATTGTTCTGAAAAGTCGAAGCTTAGAGTTTCTTCAAATCTCACCACATTTTTGCGGTAAAATCAAATCGTTCTCTCGGCCGAAACGCGGAATTTTAAAACCCGCCTGCGTCTCCGTCTATAAAAACCGACTCGTACGAAAAATTTGCTTGCAAACGGATGAAAAAATGGAACTCAATCCGGAAAACTCCTGTAGCCCCACTTTCGCAAGAGGATAAAACGGGGAAACAATTTTATCCGAGCGTATATATAGAGGCACTTGCTGAAAATCTGCCACTGTACATAACTCGAACGGACTTCATATTTGAATTCGCAATTTAAAATTGGACGTTGAATATTAAATTGTTCTTTCTTGCCTCCGGGTTCCCGGAGCTCTATTATTTCACAGATTCGAAATTTCACATTCCCGTCGTATTTTTATTTAAAAAGAATTTAATAATTCCATTTTGCGTAGCCGACGGGAGACGGCGATTCGGTTACTTTGAAAATATCCCGACAAAAATCTTGTAATTTCTAAATTAATTTCTGTTTTATTAATTTTTTCATTGGGATTCTCTACGTAATGTAATAAAAAATATGGTGGCGGGGAGGCGCCCCGCATGTGGTCCCCCCGCACCGGAGCGTTCCATCGTAAAAATATTAAATGGATTTTTTTTTCTCGAAAGGAATTAATTAAATCGGGGCTGGGGTCGGGGGGGTAAAATTTCATATTAAATTGGTGGCTTTGATCGAATTGATATTCGCAATGAGTAAGTCCTCAAATCTCTGTTTCAAACCAGTGAATCAACGGAACAAATAAATGAATAAAACTGCAAAGTAATTGTGTGAAATACTAGACTACTATTATGGAAAGCTGAAAATTGCGAAAAAAAAAACGCATAATGATGGGAACTCGATTGGAACTAACTTTGTATATTGAAATGAATTGAAGGTAAGATTGAGTTGTTATTCCCAGAATATCAGCTACTTTTCCACCAACCCTTTAGATATAAATACACCTCTTTACAGAAATTTTAGTGGGCGTCTTGATTTAAAACTTGTGGTTTTAATTTGGTAAATGAAGTGCGCAATTTATCCGGCATTTTCTGTTTTAATATACATAAGTGAAAATTTGAAACATATATTAAAATAACCAAAAATAATTAACCAGTATTTCAACTTATTTAAAATGTTCTACCCATTTCAACAATACCGGCAATTGAAAATCCTGCAAAAGGATCCTTCACGTATTTTTTGCCAATGACTACTAATAATAGTTAGTATATATAACAATTGTATAATTAAAGTTCTTCTGGGGATATATTTTCAAAGAAAAAAAAAGGTAATTTGAGAATAATTCGATAGAGCCCATATTTACCCTTATTGGCTAAAAATTTCAAATTCCTTATATTATTGCTGCAGTGCGGAAACTGATTTTGCAGGATCGTCATGCGACTTACCATGAGATTGAGGTATCTTATTATTATTGGGCATTATTGGGACTAGCACACATAAGTTTTGCATGAACATATGTTCGCGTTGGATTCCACACAATATGATATCAGCTCAAAAAAAGGTTATGTTGATTGATCGAAGGAAATGCTAAAAAAATACGATCGCGGTGCTTCCAAACACGTCGATGATATCCAGTTGCAACTGTTTCTTTGGTGAAAGGTAAAACAGTCAATTCTGAATCGTACAAGAACATTTGTTTGCCGAGAAGAAATTAGAAAAACCAACCGCCGAAGACGAATCTCTCTCCACGACGACAATGCTAGCTTTCACCGACCAGTGCAAATAAAGAACTTTTTGAGCATTAACAACGTTGATTTGGTGAGCCATCCTTCAAATAGTCCTGATTTAGCACCTAATGACTTCTTTTTATTTCCATGCATTAAGAATACATTACGTGGGCAACGATTTTTGACACCAGAAGAAGTGATTGATGCGTTTAAAAAGCATGTTTTGCAGGTGCCCGAATCGATGTGGAAAAAGTGCTTTGATCGAATTGAAAAGTGTATTGACCATCAGGGTGAATGTTTTGAGAAACAATAAAGTCCTATTTTTTGGTAGCTTACAGTTTTTTATTATATATCCTGAAATATAAAAGGTAGCCCTCACATTTCTGCTTTTCATTGCCCGAAATTTCCGGAAAAGCGATAGTTAAAAACCTATGGTACTATTTTCAGTTCTCCGAATTTTCTTCTTCTGCATTTAAGTTAATCCCTCCGGGTGAGATGAGCTTTTTAAGATGAACCCATTCTGTTTAATCCTTAAAGCCTTATTAATTATGTACTCCGAGGATTTACAAAATGAATATAAATTTTCGTACGCCGGCGAAACATAAATTTTAACGTAGAAAATTTAGTCCGATTTAATTATCGCCAGGATTAGTTTCTTCATAACATCAGTTTTAATGTGCACTGCGGGTTGATTGTTTCATGTTTATTTTTTGCAGGCGATCCACGAATTGTCAGGGGTACGTCTACCTCTCCAACCCTACACGGGTGGCCACGCGGTCTTCATGTATTCCACGGCGTCGGACGGAAATGTCACTTTGCAACTGAAAGAACCCGATGATCTAGATCGGAATAGCCTGGCGGCCATGCTGGCACGTCTGCAAGACGACGCGTCCTTTTCCATCTACACTCAGGATACAGACATCTTGTCCGACGGTAGCATAGACGTACTTCTAGGGACTGGCACCTCGAATTCTGGTGAGTCACTGCGTTTACATTTTATACTTAAACTGATTCAGCAGTTTATATCATCTTCCAATTGTTATGTTAATTGTGATTTTCTTAAATGAATTTAATCTCTACCACAGCATTCGGTATTCCCATTTTCAAGTTTTCGTAAAATTATTCCTGCTATTGTTTGGAACCTATCACTAACTGTATATAAGTGTAAATTATGAAGGAAATACAGGATTGTACATGTCTTGAAAATAAATGGGTGTCAAAGCCAAAAAGTTATGAAAACACTTTTGGTCAATTTGCTAATATTTTCATTTTAATTCAGATTGAAAGTAATATTTTCAAATTTGTTGATTAAATGAAGGTGTTGATGTATTTTTATGTACAAAGTTAAAGTTTAACTATTTAAAATAAAAAATATGAAATGAAATTGAAATATCAGTTAGAACATTTATGTGTAAGATATTACTGATTAGATTTTAACGCAACCGTATTTTAAAGTTTTAACTAACCGTAATATTATCTTTAATGTACTTTAATGTTTGGCTCAAACTGATTTACATTTTCGGATAAGATATGCAACGTAAACACTTCAGGAATTGTAAAATGTTCTTGAGAAAAGTCAAAAACGAATCTTGCCACTTTCGGGAATATAAACATTCTGCGATGAAAAAGTTCAAATTATTTCTTTTACTATTTTTTTAATAAGGCATATTTGGTTCAATATCATTATTTTTACGAGTTTAATCTACTGCTTTTTGGTGAATTCATTCGGGATTTTCTTGGATATGAAAATAACTAGAAAAAAAAATCAGCAGACAATTATTGGCAGCTACATTTTACAATCTTAACTCCTGGTAAACCTCACATTAACATAATATGTAATTTAATTTTGCATCCCGAGGGACAATGTTGCTTTACATTTAAAAATATTATTTACCACTTTGTCGAAAACTTCAAAAAATTGTAGCTAGAAACTGATATCACAGTTTACTTAATAGCACTCTCAATGGTGAAGGCTTTTTTGATCATTTTTTTTCAAAGGCTGTAATAATTTTTACAAAACTTTTGGATTTCTCCTGCGTCGGTTTTTGTTGAGTCGAACTTAACAACTATCTTGTTTACAGAGCCCTAAAACTCTATCAGCCCGAGTCACTGAACCCAGAATTAAAACACCTCACCTCTTCTCTCTAATAATTTACACATTAAATATATTAAGCGTTCCATCACAAAATACACTTTACCACAACCTTCCAATAGTAATGCCACTTGCCACTGTTGTCAATCCTTACATTCAAAACATCACTAACTACATATGAAAAGTTCTATAGAAATATAACGTCACGATTTACCACTTCTCCAAATGTCCAACGTCTTCGATTCGTCAAAGACAAAATTCCATTTGAGATGCCAGGAGTTTACAGCATTCCATGGATTTGTGGCAAAGAATACATTGGAGAGACCGGACGAAAAATATCAACTAGACTCAAAGAACATGGAAGAGCCTTGAGACTAAGACAAATAAACTCATCAGTAGTTGCCGAGCACAATCATGAAGCCGGACATAAAATATTATTCAAGAAAAATTACATTCTTGCATGTAATCTACCATCGAAAAATCCAAGACTCTATCGAAATCTATAAGCAACCTAACAATCTTAACCGCGACTCAGGTTTTTACCTGCCACCAATGCCCCGCATTTAGCTCCTCCCCCTCAAACAATATACAGGTACAGAGTAAAATGTGAGAAAGTTTCAGTCAAATTCTGAATAAAGCCAACAGGAACTGAGGAAACGTTAGCAAGTTCGAATCAGCAAAAACCGACGCAGGAGGATCCATAAGTGTTGTAAAAAGTAAAGTAAAATATTGAAAAATGAATTAGGATTATTGGATTTTCTAATTTTTGGCCGCTAATTTCTAAGCTGATTTTCTCACAGTGCAACGGCATCCTAATTGTTTTATCACAATTTGACGACAGTTGCAAATCTTCACACGCACAAGAGTTGTATTCGGTTCCACACGAATGTGATAGCGGATGTTTGTGCCACTCGGGTGGTTCGTCTCATCTGGAACTTTCCGTGCCGCCAGAAGGACAAAGGGAATTTTTGAGGAAGTGGCCAATTTCGCGCGCCAGTTCCGGATTTCATTTTAGTCCGAACAAGTTTCGCGGCAAACTTCACCCGAGCGAACTTTCATATTTCAGTCGCGGGAAATTTGGCAAGTTCGCTTCTCCTACTAGACATTAGTGTTACTTTAATAAGCTCCGGTTTAAGCTGTATTAGTTAAGGGAGTATTTAGTTTGTTATTCGCGTTAGGGAGAATACGAAATATTAAATCTAAATACTTTCGAAGTTTTGCCCCATAATGGTGGAACTCGAATCCTGGGGATAAATTACTTTAGGAGAAACGGTATTGGAGGAGTATAATACGGAAGTCACAAAATCGCAAGACGCAGATTTTCGTGACGGAATTACGTTTATATATTTTAAATACTAGATACTCGATACACAGCGGGCCTATAATATAATGTATTAAGACCTGTGAAGATTTTATATTTCCTTAGTAAAGTTTAGAATTTTAGTGAATAAAGTGCAGAGGAAAACCTATTATGCACATTGATAAACATTTAGTTATTGCTATGAAACAATACTTATAAAATGCAGGCGATGTGAAGTCCTGAATTGTTCCTTCCTTATTTTAAATGGATGACCACGTAGGCGTTCATCATTACTCAAGACCACAAGGGGCATGTCAGATGGGAATTGGTCATGCGCAAACCTCTACATTTGAATGAGATCCCCTCGCAGCCGACGCTGACTTAATGTTGGCAGACTAAGTATTTTGAGACGGTCATCGTAAGGTGCCAAGTAAAGGGTTTACTTCATTCGGATCTGGTATGGTTTTTATATTCCAATAGGAGCAGCACAGGTATCTTATAGAATTGATTATGTTGTTCATTTCCTGTATTGTTCCGCTGTTTGGCGAGGATTTCGTAACATTAAATAATTATTGTATTGTATGTGTATATCGTTGTGGGTACAATACACTGTACAACCACCCGTTCTTTGGTAGTCTCAGTTTCTTTAGCTTCGGACGTGTATTCTCGGTTTGTGTGTGACCTCTTGTCCTTTCGGTTTTCTCTTCGTTTTACTTCGAGATTCTAATTCAAAAACAGAGTGCTGGTTGCGAACCAGAGGGAGACGTAGTAATTACCATCTGTCACACTATGAGATTGGAGAGCACCATTGCTTTTCATTGCGTATTGCGGTATTGCTCATCGGGTGCACAGTAAACATTGTTTTGTTATTCTGACATATTCTTGCTCGGTTTCTTTGCGACGGCCTTCCGACCACCACCACAAACAGGGAATCGTTTACATGTTTGGTTGATGCTTGTGGGTTGGTGTTCGTTGAACAGCAGAGTCTATTTCTTATGGCCTGGTCTCCAGGATAATAACAGATGAGCGTTTAGAGAAGTTCCTAAGATTGAGCACCAAACTTTAGTAATATACCCACAAATAAATAAATAAAGTACCTGTTTTTATTTCAAAGAAGGTATACCGGACATTTCAAATCTTTATTTAGTAATTTGACTTAAAACACAAACGTAAAACAACAAAAACCAAACGTAAAAGAAACATCTTATTTTTTCGTAAAATATATTTATTAAATGAATCTTAAAAGCGCAGGGAGAGAGATATTGAGCTTTCCAGAGGTTGTATACGAAAAAGAGCTTTTGAGTCAGCTTTCTTAATTTGGGTATTTCATACTGAGAATTAAAACGAGTTCAAGAGAAATGTACGCTAATTCTAAAAATATTTATTTTCAATAAATGTGAGAAACGTCCAATATTTAGTGGTTAATTCCATAATTCTTCTTAGTGCGATGTATGTAATCATTTTAAATCGCGCAGATTATGACTCACGTGATCCCTTCGTTTAAGACTGTAAATAAAGCGAGTACAAAAATTCAGTACTTTTTGTATGTTATATTTATTCGAAACATCCAAGCAATCCATGGACCAATTAACACAAATTAAGATGACTCAAAACCAGTGTTTCACAGAAATTTTTTTTAAAATAAAGTTTAGAACTTCTTTACTTTTATAGATGCGGAGGTGAATATAGGACTTTTGGGAAACTTTTGATACTTGCGCATGAAGTCCAAGTTTGTTATCAAGAATTATACTCAAGTATCTATTTCGAAATTTAATAATAATATAAAAAACTCATGGACAAACTAAATCGTTGTTTATAATTATTGTCGGCCCAAAATTGAAAACGTCATTAAGGCAATCAAATCTTTTTTACTTCGGCATAAACTGTAGATTTCCGGTGTGACCTTGACGTGAGTTTTTTTTTTAGTTCACCTGTTTAGTATTCAATAATAATCAATTTTAAGGTTTTGACTTCTGGGTGTGTTTGAATCGTTAGTTTTGTGATAACAGGTCTTTTCGAGTATGGGCGTTTTATTTTATCCTTTCTAATGTATCGAAATTTTACTTTTTTAACACTACTTCGGTGTCAATAACACTTCTCCAACTTGTAAGCACCCTCAGTCCCAGAACCCCGGCAACTATACTACTTACGGCAAAAGTGACTACTATAAACATGGGCGGTAATTTTCGATTTTATGGGAACAATTATTGGTTTCTCAAAGTTGCTTAATGAATTTTGTTTTAAATATTTGCCTCTATTACAAAAAAGTTCCTAGGCTTTTGTCCGATAGCGTATATATAACGAACTAGTTTCAAATTTAGCCCGCGGTGCATCGTAATCCATCATATTTCCTTTGTTTAGGGAAAAATCTGTAATCCGCTTAAGGGGCCGACTTCCTTTTTTGTAAAAACGTAGACGCAGCTGTACGGCAGCGACAGGCCGAATAGGGTTGCGGATTTGCCAAATCAAAAGCGCCGGGACGGTGGGAACGGAGGGGATTTGGCGAGTAACCGGTATCCAGTATCCGGCTTAGCAGGAAATGAGGCCAGGAGGTTCATTTTAACTTGAACGATCTGCGTATAT